TCAACAAAGCCCAGTCCGATGTAATCTTAACGGATGAAATGCGAACACAAAACTTCTTTCCAATTTGTCATATTATTTTTCTATATACTATTTGTTGATACATAAAATTATACTATATATATATATATATATATATCAAATATGTGGTGCAGTGCAATTTATATTACAATCAATCATTCATACAAAAAGTAAATTAATAAATTTAATGATATAAAATTAATAAAGTTAATGATATAAAATGGCGAATTCCCTTCGCTAACAAAATTTTAACCTGGAAATTATTTTGTTTTTGGTAAAATTCAGGTAGCATCCGAGATGATAAAATATAATGCGAATCGAAATATGTTTTTTTTTTTCTTTTTAATGGGTTATTAATAACGGATACAAACTTATGGAGCGTGCAAAATAATTTCCATACCTGAAGATGACTGAATGTACAGTCGAAAGTACTTGCGTATTTAAGAAAGACCTAATACAGCTTGTAATAAAAAAGTATTGGGATTGTTTCTATGATAACGGAGATAAAGTACCCAGTGTAAAGCCGCTTCCCATTAATTGACCTTGAACTCTGTTGCGCGTATATACAATGTTATAATGTTCTCGCACATTTCCGTGTAGGTGTGTAGAGTGTGGTCGTCTCAACACACCACAGATATCCCATCAGTAACCATGGCTTGTGCAGGAGTCTTGGGCCAAACACAACATTCTCTCACAACAACCATATTCTCTAAATCTCGCTACTTGTGATATTTTCCTCTTTCCAAAAATCAAATCCTGCTTGAAAGGAAAGTGTGTAGAGTGTGGTCGACTCACCACACCATTCCACAGAGGTTCCATCAAGTAACACGGCTTGTACTGCAGTTTTTGTCTCAGGTGCGACAACCACCATATTCCCCTCATCTCGCCCTTTGAGACATTCCTCTTTTCAAAAATCAAGTTCTACTTGAAAGGAATCAGATTTCAAGCGTCCTGGGTAAGACGTTAAACTACATCCGCATCCTGGGTAAGACGATAAACTTCATCCACAGCAAGGCCTCTGATCAACATGGTTTGAGGAGTGTGGAACCACCTCTTAAATGCTGGTGTTCCCAGGTCCACCCTGACAGGCTGATAGTACCTATTAGGGTCCCAACTATGGGCAAATAGTTAATTATTACCAATAATACTTTTTTGAAAAAAATTATTACTAAACAAAATATTACCAGTAATAAAAAATGTTGTCGGCATTAAATAACCCATTGGGTTTGATATGCCGTAAAACAAAATAAACCAAACCAAACCAAACCAGATTACAAGACGTCGAGGAAATTCAAAAGAATGCGGCGATGCAGATGCTCGCTATCCCAAAAAGGGAGCTCTGGGAATGCTTCCGTGAATAAAAACGACAAAAGTGTGCGGCGTCAAAAGTGCACTATTTCGAAGGAGATTACATGCCGAATTGATATGTGTTGTAGTTTTCTTTTTAAAGCACCAGCCCCGATAATTTTTTATCTACTTATATATCTACAATATGCGTTCATATATGTGTCAGTGTCAACGTATGTATGTGTATATACATAAATTCAGATACACGCACATATATATATCTATATATATTTAAATTTTGTAAATTTAAGTAAATTACAAATGAAAAATATTTTAATAATAATGCTTAGATAGCATTTTTTTTTGCTTGTTTTATCCGACTTTTACAAATAGACGCAATTTCTAATTTCCCACGCTTCGCCTCTCGCCATCTTAGAGCAAAAAATATCTTTCTTTCCTTACTTTTCGTTTGCTGTCTATTGTAAGTCGTATTTTGTAACTTTTAAATTACAAAAAAAAGAACAAGTAATATAAAAGGTTAGAAAATGCCGCCCGTCAAATTAAATTTTGTAATATATTCCTAGTATGTTAAAAATAAAAAAAATACTTTTCCGTCAAGCTCTTAACTATTTAGTCTCAAATACGCCTTCTTTGCTTTCTTCCTTAGTTAATTACAAGGTTATATTTTTATATTTAATCAAGTCACTCGAAGCAAGGCGACAATGCCACTAAGACGTAAACGGCTTCCGGGAGTGAAAGAGAAAATAAAGAAGAATTTAGAAGGAACCGGAAACGCAATGCAAAACAGGAAACAAGGGATAAGTCTCTACTCCTGTTCAAAAGACAGGGGAGGAGCGTGAACCGGACGATTGGCGAACCTATCTATTCTTACTAGTGGAGGAGGGAGAAATAAAATAAAAGGCAATAAATAGAGAATAAAATTTCAGAGTTCAGGCGCAGATGTGAGGAGTACAGAACTGAAGCATACTTTAAAAGGAGCCGGAAACCTAATCCTAAACTGGAAACAAGGGATAATCTCTACTCCTGTTCAAAAGACAGGGGAGAAGCGTGAACCGGACGATTGGCGAACCTATCTACTCCTATTGAGGAAAAAAATGAATAAAAAAAATATAAAAATAAATAGAATTTCAAACTTTCAGGCGGAGACGTTAGAATTATAGAGTTGAATGCTTAGGGCCACATTACGTTGAAGCACCGGTTCCCGTACGATCACCGAAGTTAAGCAACGTCGAGCGTGGCCAGTACCCAGATAGTTGACTGCTTATAAATACCATGTGCTGAAAGATTGGATGTACGGGTGGTGTAACAGATAATGGCTCAGAATTCTCAATCGGAGAGCCGAGTTCCAATTCCTGTCAGGGTCGTTATATTCATTTACGCGCAAATACTCTTTGCAAAGGTATGAATCCACCTCTTCTCCCTCAGCTATGGGTTAATTAGTAAGACTTGTGTAGCTAAACCATTATTATCTCAAAAAATAAAATAAAATTGTGTACATGAATTCAGATAAATTTTCATAAATATTAATGCAATACTTAAATGCAGTGATCAATTTTGAGTAATTCTGTAGTTTATTGTTGCCTCCCTACTTATTCTGCTGAAAGTCCAATCAAGAACGCTCCGAAGAGCTAGCTTAAATGCCGTTCGATAGGGCAGCTTTTAATCTAGTATATATATATATATATATATATATATATATATATATATATATATATATATAAAGTGAACATTGAAGTCAACATAGAGGTGACAGTCTGTTTCATGCTAGACGCAATCGTCAGGCCATAATTGCGTCTAGCATGAAACAGACTGTCGCCTCTAAGTGTTGACTTCAATGTTCACTTTTATATTTACACACGTTCTATATCTGATATTGAGCACTTTTTATCCCATAAATATAGCCCATTATTAAGAATATATTTCTTTATATATATATATATATATGGTGAAAGTATCCGATTCTATTCAGCATTCATTGATCGTATAGTTAGCGTTACTGTAAGAAAAAAATAAAAACTTTTCTTAGATTTTTCCGGGAAATTACACACACACACACACACACACACACATATATATATATATATATATATATATATATATATATATATATATATATATATATTGCGCCTTAAGCGATCAACAGCAATATAGCATCTGTGTATGTGTGTTGTGTTGAATGTGTCAGGGGTATTTGGGAGGGGGTGCTCACACAGTAGGCTAATATAAATAATTATATTTCATGAATGCCGTTATATATGTAAACTTTCATGAAAATACATAAATTATACACACAATGACTGCATATCTAAATGGCAAAATATATGTCAACGAGCTCACCTCAACTTGTTTCAACGAAAATTATATAAACAGGTGTAGGTTATAGATAGATAGATAGATAGATAGATAGATAGATAGATAGATAGATAGATAGATAGATAGATAGATAGATAGATAGATAGATAGACAGAGATAGATAAGAAAGGATAGATAGATAGATATAGATAGATAGATAGATAGATAGATAGATAGATAGATAGATAGATAGATAGATAGATAGATAGATAGATAGATACGAACAGACTGAGATAGATAAGAAACTGAGATAGATAGATAGATAGATAGATAGATAGATAGATAGATAGATAGATAGATCTCAATATAAATGAGTTTTTCCTGCCGTCAACGCTCATACATAACCACTTCTTAAATCAAGTAGGCGCGTAAATTCTCTTCTCATCGTCAGACATCGACATTGTTTTGAGGATAACAAATGGATTTTGTATTTATTTCGTATATACACCTATGTTTTGTTGAGAAATGTCATCGTTTCAGTTTCAGCCCTGTTATATAATCCAGCCGCTTCTTTGGTTTCCAGAGAATTAAAAACAAAATGCCCCTTGTCGATTTATTGTACCCGAAGAGCTCTTTAAGAAGCAATGTGGGTATTCTAAGCTTTTAGGCAGAGATTTCTTCCACTTCCAAGTTTAACGATTTTTCATTGAAACTCCGAAATATGCATTGGCAATATTTCATTACAATTCATCAAGGACGTGGTAAGCCAAATGATATACACTAGATTTCAAATTGTGTGCCCTTTATTCCAGAAATGGAGTATTACTGTTATACCTCGGTTGTAGCTGCCTAGTCCTCACTTCCCAGCTATAATAGAGTTCCTAATCGATAAGGGCTGTGATGAGAGAAGATTTACTCTTAACTCTTGTTATGTTCCGACAATCCTCGTCGGAACTGTTATATTCCGTGCTAAGGGCATAAATACTTAACACCCAGTGGATAATAGAAGAAAGGTTTATTGTACACAAGTAAAATATGAAATACGGTACAGTTATACACACAGAACAATCTAGTAGTGAGTGCAACTAATTGGAAGGTTCGATATGCTTGCGTCTTCACTCTCACTCTCGTCTACTAGTCTCTCGTAGACAGTTGACTTTATAGGTACTTACTACCTATAGTGTAATCATTCATGGGGGTGCCTGGTTATTCCATTACATTAACTCTACAACCTCTTTTCAACAGACGTAACGATACCGAATTTTGTATGGGCCGTGAAGGTCGATCTCATCACACAATAGTAATGGCCAGTTACAATAACCCCCCCCCCACGCTGAGCTGTCGAGGTATCCGTGCAGTGTTTATTACCCAGTAAAACCTACTGCAGAAGGTGACGACGAAGAGCAGGAAGAAGGGACTAACCACAAACTACAAGACAGAATACATGGTCATCAGTAAAAAAAAAAATGAGCCCGAAATGCAATTTGCAGGGCAGGGACACTAAAATCAAACAGGTGCGGAAGTTTAAATACATGGGAAGTGTTTTGACAGAGGACGGTAAGTGCAACACTGAGATCCGTAGACGTATTGGGATGGCCAAGAACACATTCCAAAAGGTGAGCAGAGTATTGCGAGACAAAGGGATTTCTTTGGTAACAAAGAATAGAGTATTGAGCTGTTACGTGACATCTGTCCTCCTTTACGGCAGCGAATGTTGGACAATTTCCTCAAAGATGAAAAAGAGACTCGAAGCAACGGAGATATGGTGCTACAGAAGGATGCTGAGGATATCATGTACCGAGCGTGTGAGCAACAATGAGGTCTTGGAGAGGATGCAAACAAGGAGGAAGCTTATACTTAACATCATGAAGGGGCAGCTGACGTTTCTGGGACACGTAATGAGAAAAGAGGGTCTAGAAAATCTGATACTCAGGGAACGAATACAAGAAAAGAGAGACAAGGGAAACCAACACATGACATACCTGGCGGTCTTAAGCAAGTATATGACACAACGTGTCTGGGCAGTTGGCAGAGGCACGACACTTATTGAGAGCCACAAGGGATAGGGAGAAGTGGAGAGCCATGATCGCCTACATCATGAAATGACACAGCACATAAAAAGAAAAAAAAAGAATAAAATCTAAATCCATGAGTACATTTTTATCAAAAATGTAACTTTTAAAAATTAACGTCCCTCTTTTTGAAATTCTCTCTTTATCTTCATTTTTTTCTCTGCTTACTGCTTGAACTACACACAAATATTTGCGCTGAACGTATTAATTAGTTTACATTCTTATGACTAAACCTACATCTGGAAAGCGGCTGTGAAATTTGTTAATTTTTCTTTTTTTCTTCCCGTACGCAAAAAGGTCGTTGCGCGGTGGTCGGTCGGGTGACGCAATTGTGGCCGAGCGTACCACTGGCTGGCGGGCTAAGGTGAAGGAAATGGTCGTAAAAATATTGCACCGCTTCAAGTAGGAATAATCTGACAAGTTTAAATTTCAACATTCGTAATCACAGCTTTTACCTACGCTCGAACACTAATCAATGGTACTTGTTTAACTTGTTTAAATGTTTAAATTTGAATTGTGTAGAACTGTTCAACTTCTCGGGAGTGTATTATCAATGTAAAGGAAATATAAACATTGTACACGTTAAGTACCACTTAACATCAGAATTTGGGCCAACACAATGCATATATTTACTCTCTTGCCTTACGCCAGATCACGAGTAAATGATAGAAATAAAACAAAAGAAGTTTAAAATCCGTTGTTAGACAACGTCTTTCCCAGAACTCTACTGTTGCAAGTTTGTGTAGCAAGGAGCCAAACGCTGCCTCACTTCCCCTTTCTAAATAATATATATATATATATATATATATATATATATATATATAATGCGACACACACACATACACACACAAAACACACAAATATATATATATATATATATATATATATATATATATATATAGTAAAAAAAGAAAGATATATAATCCGGTGTTCTTACTGATATTTTTATTTTTACAAAACAGTGCTCAGTGTAAATTTACAGAGCATAAATATTATAAAATTAACCGATTTAAAAATGTTTTCATCGCTACATAAGAATTACCACGTTTCAAAAACAGATACTAATAACTTCAAATTCAATTATATAATTAAATCAAAAGCATTAGTTCTTTTTCATCTTTAAGCGAATTTTGGCATAGCTTATTTTGAAATTTAATGACTTTTAATAGCATATACATTCATAATTTTTGTTTGCAAGGATACAAAGAAATCCAATCATTTAGACAGGGGCGGTAGCGTGTTCTTATTCTTCAATAAAGGGTTTTAAAAGGTTCAAATCAATCAAACACCCATCGCTAGGGGGACGCTGTTACATAAGCTGCAATGACCAATCAAAATACAAGTATATGAGAATTCAAAAAACTTGACAACGGACTAAGGTTATAATAACTATTTAATCCTTTAATGTTGGGGTTAGACTAAAATAGAGTTCATTCTAATTAATATTAAATTTTATCATAAAATTAAAAATTACCAATTTTAAATTTAATCTGTATTAAGTTTAAAAAATTATAAAATTATTTAAAGAAACTGAGGAAAAAATACATATGTTTTGTTATTTATTTTGTTTTTATTGAATGGCCAACAATTCAGTTAGAATAAACATTAAAATGTTGTGCTAAGCTTTATTACAGCTTAGATACATTTCGATGTGCCCTATGAGTGTTTAAATTTCAATTGTCTCTTTCTGATTTGATAGCAAAACTTTATTTGTCGTTCTTAGTCTTAAAACTTCCTTTCTCGGATAACCTGTCCAGTATATTTCGCAATATTCGTCAGTCGAACAGCATATTTTGATTCAAGTCTTTTCTTCATTCTGAAGGAAATAATCCAACCTTCTGTGCCACGTAAGAGATTTAATATTGCACAGCAGTCGAGTTCTCTTTCCTTTGTTTCTCGGGAAATTCTTTTCTTTAGG